TTATCTCATTTAATCCTCAGTGATCTTTATGAGAACTTTGTTAAGTATAAAGAAGTACCCGTAGCTTTCAAACTCAAATATTCTTCTGTTTCTTAGTGGTGTTCAAAACAAATCTAGTATGTAAGTAATGGTCCTAATTCTTCTAAAAACATCTGTTTTGATCCTAAGGACTCGAGTCCCTAAACAATCACTTGAACATCTTCTTGGTTCACTAAAAAGGCATGAACTTTAGACTTTGAACAATGACTAGTGCTTTTTTAAAAACAAATTGCTCAAACAAATTCAGGGATCCTTGGCAGAGAGAAGCAGAATGCAAAGTTGTTTTGGAGCAAATTCTTTTAGAGATTCATCTTAGTCAGTTCCCCACTGCAAAGTTGATTTTTTTTCCTATGACAAATAATCCTGTCGTGAATATGAACTTGTTCCCTAAGTAACCTCAAAGCACTTAAAATATCTTTTTTTTAAATTTTATTTCTAACATGTTAACTTTTTAAAATTATGACATGCTTTCATTACTTTATAAGACAATGAAAATAAAATTAAATGCATGCATAAGGACAAGTAAAATTTCGGAAAGAGAAACTTCCAAAGTGATTTTGGAATAAAAAAAATCCATTCTGAAATGTGAGCAACTGACTATGATGTCTATAGGCACATGAGAATTCTCAAATTAGCATTAATCTTATAAATTTATAAGATGATAATTTAATCTTATAAAACATTTTTTTCTCATATAGGAAGATATACATTGAGGAGTAGCAAAATAAGACCTGAAATCAGACCTCACAGGAGAGAATTCCTTTAATCTTCCTTCAGAGTTTGACTGAATGGTGCTAGGAGATAAAGGGAGAAAGAAGACACAGCTGGCTATGTCCAGTGACATAACTCCCCATAAAGATTGGTGGCTGCCTGGTCTCCTTATTTCTGAGAGGAGAACCACTGAAGAACTTGATAATCACCTCAATAGTCAGGATCAAGGGTTTCAAATCACTGTACTCAATCTTCACCAGACCAGCAGCTCTCTTTGCTTTAACATCTGAATCAGCAATCACGGCACACACAAGCTGGCCCACACCAAAGACCTAAAAAACACAAAGACCATAGGCTTTTTTTGGTAGAGGAAGGAGCATGGGGGTGTGTTTTATTCTTCTCTTGTACCACATTCAGTGGTTCTTGAGAATAAAATGCATAGTTCTTATGCTGACATGTAAAGCCATCCAACAATCTGGCTCCCAGATACCTTTCCAACATTACTTCACAGCATTTCTGTTCAAGAACACTCCATGGTCCAGCCAAACTAGCTGTCTACTCCTTGAATTCAATACATAGGTTATTTTTTCTTCACCTTTGCTTCTCAGAATCCCTGACTTCCTTCTAGGCCCTGTTCAGATGCCCCATGTTCTGCTGGAAGCCTTTCCTGATTGTCCCAGTTTTTTGTGCTGTCTTCAAATTATCTTGTATTTATTTCTCTGTACATCTGTCATATTCACTATAAGCACCACCACCTCCAACAGAATGTAAGCTCCTTGAGGGTAAGGACTGTTTTGGTTTTCTTTGCATCTCCAGAGTCTATAACAGTGCCCAGAACTTAATAAAAATATTTAAAAAGTTCTTGTTAAATTAAATCCAGTCTTATCTACAAGAAAGAGAGTAAAGGAAAGCTTTTGAGAAGAAACAACACAATGTAGCACAGTAGCCACATGCTGGACCATATTCCTATTCCTTCTCTATAATTTCAATCTCTGATAACAAAATTTCTGAAAACAGCAAATCATTAAGACACATCCTTTTTATTTCTTATAAGATATATGTCTGTACTGGCAAGATTAAAGGGGCATTACAATCTAGGTGACAAACTTCTGGCTTAGAGTTTAATGTATCTTACTCAGAACTTTTAGGGGGATGGGTAGCAGAAGGGGTAGAATGAGATAGATGAGAATCTACTACCTGGTTCTTTTATTAAATTTGGTTCAGCCCAGCTTCTGAAAAGCTAAAAATTACTTTAGCATATTCTTTGTATTTTTTTTTTTTGCTTTCTACTGACATTTCTTTCTCTATATTTACTTCTTGTTCTCTCACCTTCTATTCTCCAGGCTAAACATCCCTAATTCCTTCCACTAATCCTGACATGGTATGGTCTCCTGTGCCCTTACCATCCCAGTCACCTCCCACCTCTCAAACATGATTTTCTTCTTAGTATAGCCTAAGACTATGCTAATTTATTATTATACTTTGATATTTATATAAATCACCACAGTATCATCAGTATTGACTTTTTCCCAGTGCACATTCCTATTTCCAGTGGTTCTGGGGTACAGAATATGCATAGACACTGTCATTTTTTCTTATGCAATGTAAAAATGAACAATTCATATCTCAAAGCATTTCACAGGCCTGAACACTGTCCTATTCCATTTCATCCACAAAGCAAGCATTCCACAGGCAATACCAAACAATCTTGTTTTTTTAGTTAATATTTACTTAGTGCCCACAGTTCTCCGCTAACTGCCAAAACACTTTGGCTCTGTCTCATGGGGTTCACAGTGGTTTCTGTTCAAGGTAGGTTTAGTTTAAGCTCTACTGATTATTAATATTTTTTCCTTCTGTGTCTGCTTCCTAAATTGTGACTGTCCTTATTAGACACTGAATTAGATACTGAATGAGAACTTGAGTTTCTAGAGTGCTTAGAGAGACCTAAGAATTCCTGCAATGTACTTATATGTGCTAAGTGTGAACTAACATTTCCCAGACCAAAAGATTCTGCAATGCCATTTTAATAGCCAGAACTAAACAGACTTCTAACCACTGAACCTTCGTTGACATCAGGACGCTGTTCACACAGAGGTCTTCAGATACCAAGAGTCCTGTGCATGTTCAATGTCTGGGCCATGCTTTATCCACCATCTGGGATGAAACAAAGGAGCTAGCAAAGAGTGTGGATTCCCTCAGGCTCTTGGAGGCCAGATCTCTAGGCATTTACTGACCCAGACATCTGGCCCAAGACCAAGGCTTAACCCTTTCTTTCCTTTAGACGATACAGTCTGACACCACCCTTCATCATCAGAGAACCTTGGAGGGTAGGAGAAGCCCTAGTCAATTGGTGCTCCCCCATCCTATGGCTAACTAACTCCTGTTTTCTCTTCCCCTAATTCCTGTGATTCAGCACTTTCCCAATTACCAGAAACACTCTCCCATCCCAATTTACTTAAATCATCTGGCACTGCCCGATTTCTTGTTTTTGCTGTGGCTTTTGAAAGCCCTGTTGTGTTTTGTTTTGTTTAGCAAATTTCCCTTTATTTTGCACTTCTCACACTCTTTCCATATTCTTGCTGGTGGAGAGCTCCCTTGGGTAGACATTGCTTCACTGGCCACCTTCTCCAGTGCTAAATGTTTCTAATCTCACATCCTCCAACAAAATGGGCCAGGAAGAGTGCACTTACTCAGCTTCTCAATCAACTTCCAGATAGCCCCTCTGCTCCTCCTTCCAAGATTTACTCCATCCATCCATCCATCCAGATCAATGGTATCAAATTCAAAATGAAACAGCTGAAGCTGCACATTGATTTAGAAGACTACAAATTAACATTATCTGTGTTGTATTTTTATTTTTGTTAAACACTTTCCAATTATATTTTCATCTGATTCAGGCTGCACTCAGGAATTTTGCTGCCACCTACTGCCAAGATCATTCAGTACAGATCCTTCAGGCATCTAAGCCTCCAGGTCTTTTCTCCCACTTTCTCAAGGAATTTAGTTTATTTAACTAATAGTTGTCTTCTCTACCCCAACCACTACCTACATTTTCAAGGACTTCAATATACATGTTGATGTCCCTTCAGGCATAACTGGCCTCCCAGTAAATATATCAACCTCTTCAATTTCCATGACTTGCACCTTAACTCTGCATTGGTCCCTGCATGGAGACAGTGATCTTAAGTAATACCATCATCCATAACTGGGCCACCTCCATGATCTTGAGCGGCCTCTCTCTAATCATAGTCTTCTGTTCTTCTATGTGGCCCTTTGTCTCATTCCTCCTAAACTTATTCTTCATTCTCACTAGGATGTCCAGTGCCTTCACCTCTCCCTGTTCTCTTAGTCCCTCACCCCCTCCTTTGGCCTCATTTTCTTCCCTTCAATTTATCCCTATAGTTAAATGGTTCAACTATATACTATATTCTATGTTTTAAAATCTTTGCCCTCTTGTCCTATTGCCACTCACTCCTTGACAAACCGCAACCCAGATCTTCCAACTCTAAGATCACTCCCTTTTTTTAAAAAAATAAATGATATTTTTATATCACCTAGATAAATAGCTACATAGAAAAATGACCAAGTGGATTTTGACTTATTTGCAATTTGAACACAGAATTCCATAATAAAGATGAAAGGAATATTGGGATAGTTTAGTAATTAATACATTTTGAAAATTTTATGTTAGTTTTTTTTTAATTGAGTGATATTAATTGTAGAAAAGATACTTAAAAATAATAAAAGCATTTTACCTCATCAGTTGCCAATATTTCCTCATTTTCAGGAAACTCACAGAAGGAGTTTACACCTTGAAGATCTTTACCTATCAGGACATCAATTACTCCTGGTAGTTTAAGGGCTTCTGATGTATCAATAGACCTAAATTTTAAAAATAAATTGCAGTGTTGCTTCAGAAAAACATACATGAAATCTGAAAGCTATTTAGAATATGGTCATTGAAAGAGAAGACACAAAAGGTAACATACACCTAACAACTACTCCAATCTAATTATTTGCTTCACTATCCTAAATGATCCAGCGGCTTATGATGAGAGTAAGCATTTCGGGAAAAGTGCCCCCTTCTATTTTTTTTGTCCCACCAACCTTTTCCCCTCCTAATCTAAGACAACAGAATGGTGGCACCAAGTTGGGTTTGGGTGGGAAGGATACAGAGGAAAAACCTTGCTTTTATGCAAGGTTCAATTTTACCCTTTGAATGTCTACCCTAATGTGTGTGTGTGTGTGTGTATACACACATATAATATAGATTATACATGCATGTATGTGTGTATATGTATATTATACATATATGTGTGTATATATACATACATATTTGTATATATACACATACACATACACATGAGCTTTAGGAACCAGTCTACACTGACTAAAAGCAAATCACAGAATCATATATTTAGAACTGAAAGAAACCTCAGAGGTTTACTAACTAGAACAGAAATAGAAACAATATATGGTAGTTACAGGAAGGTAAATTTCACTCCCAAACAAGGAAGAATTTCCTAATAGAGCTATCACAAAAATGAAAAGAGCTATTTCAGAAGATAGTTCACATTCATTGGAAATCTTCAAACAGAGACTTTAGAGGTACCTATCAAGGATTTTATAGAGAGGATTCCTACACTGAAATGGGCGCATGAACTAGACAAGACTAGAACTTCTGGTGTTTCTTCCAACTCTGAGACTCTTTGATTCTGTGACTTTAACTCAAGATCCTTCATGCGGAATGATGAAATTATTTGTGACAAATTCTGAAGTCAGGACCCAGGCTTTCACTGACAATCTGAACAAATAATTTATCCTCTGTCTTTTTTGCCTTCTCTCTAGCAAAGCACTTTTAATGGCAGCATGTTTCGGAGGTCAGATGAAAAAGCAAACTATTATTGCTTTCCTCAAATAATGATGTTACTTACACAATCTTGGCATGAGGTCTTGAACTTGTTACAAAGGCCAAGAAAAGTTCTTGGTCATGCGCAGGCATGTCATCACAGTAAATGGCTTCACCAGTTGCATGTTTAATACCAGATTGGTGCATGATGGGACGCCCAATTGGATCTTGAGGAAACTGTTTTGTGTCTACCTTCTATTTAGGAAACAAAATCATTTAAATGTATCAATAGAGAAAACAACTGCATTCTTTGTCTCATTCCTACATTCTTTTCATTTTGCTCCTCTGTGACAAAGTAACCATAAGTAAACTCATACACGAATTTCTTCTGGTATTGCCTATCACCACTTTCAACTACTCTCCCTCTCTGCTAGTTAGCAAAATCTCAGATTACAAAGTAAGAATTTTATGGGAATTGAAATCTTTTGGAAGTTACATCTAGGTAATTTCACTATATTTTAGAGATCCAAGGAAACACATGTGTTGCATATCTATATATCAGCCCTGTAAATAGTACTTTAAGCAACTGAGTTTTGTTTTTGTTTTTAGCCACAGTATAAACAAATATTACCCTCCTTCCTTCCCCTCAGCACCTATCCATGCTTGATGCTGGTAGGTTTTCCCAAGTAAGTGGGGAAGAATAAGAGGAGAGATGTCTCAGTGATACAAGAATGGAAATAAGAGTTTGGCAAAACCCAGGAGCCGTGGTGGCAACACATGTAGAGAAACAAACTCCCACTGTTGCTTTGAGATACTTTATTTCCTGCAAATCTGCTACCTCATTTTCAACATATATTCCCCATTCAGAACAAAAAATGGTCACACATGATATTTACAATCCCTGCCTTTACAGGGTATTGGAAAAATGTGACTAACCTGGTATCTTAAAACAGTCTCATAATGTTTGCAATGGAAATCTTCTAAAACACTTCCATACTCAGCTGGTAAACAAGGACAAAGAGAAGGGTTCTGAAAGGAAAACAGTTTGCAATTTTTAGTGTGTTAAAATAAACTATGAGCAAAGCCCCAAATTACTTAATAGCCAACAGTTCTATTCCAAATCTTATATTCAGTTGATCATGGCCATCATCACTAACAAATATTAATTGATTTGTATGTAGGACAACTATGGGTAAAAAGAGGCAAAAGACACAGTCCTTGCCCTCAAGTAATGAATAACAATCTAGCTGAGGAAGCTAAAGACAAACCACAGAACAATGAAGACTGCCTAGTCTAGCTTTCTCATTTTATAGATAAAAAACATAAATATAGAAAGCTAATACCAAAACAATACAGAATATGCATAGTTTTAAATAAGTTTATATCACTAATTTCTTGCATCTCTTGCATTTCTTATTTGATCATTTTTTAATAAGAAATTAAAATTCTAAGACCATACAGTCAACTTTTCAAAGAGAGGGAGCTAACCATTACAGGAAGATTGTACTATGTTCATAAATGAAAATGTGGCAAAGTAGAAAAAGTACTGGATTCAGAAATGAAAGGGACCTGGACTTAAATCCTACCTTCAATACTAGGTACATGATGATGGAAAAGTCATTTAATTTCTCTGAGTCTCAATTTTTTCATCTACAAAATGGGGATAATAGTCTCTCACAGAGAGGTGGTAGAATGGAGCAATCACTATTAGAAATAGCCAATAAATCGATTTATTATGCATTAACTCTATGACTTTGTTCGAAGAGAATGTTCTCTTGTGGGTGAGTTTGACAGTTATTGAGAAGTGACAGGAATTTTTTTTAAGACCATCAATAAAATATTTACTTTTAAAATAAAACATGGAAAAGGAAATCTATAGTACTTACCCTTAAAGATCAAATAAAATAATGTATATAAAGGCACTTTGAGACTCTTAAGAAACTATATAAATGGCAGCTTTTATTGTTCTTATTCTATAGCATATAATTAAAACAACCCTGAGGTTATTAATGACCCTTCACTTCTTCCTGAAGCAAAGGTCTATCTTTACATCACTATCTTTTCCTGGTGATACTACATAGCTATGAATCATACAATATTACATTAAATTAAATTTGTGGGTTATCCAGAGGCAGTGGAGAGACACATGGCAGAAATAAGTAGGGTAAAGTATATTACCAAAGGAGAAATGTGTACCAGAAGAGGCATAAAAGATACCCTTAAAAAATGACTGTGTGCAAATTACTTAACCTCCCTGGGGCTCAATTTTCTCATCTGCAAAATAAGTGAATTTGACTTATTGGTCTATAGCTTTTATTCTAGCTTTAAATCAATGAGTCTAAGATGTATGACCAGAAAATGAGCAAGTTGCAGAAGCAAAGCATAACACATGGCCAAACCATGTACT